CATGGCTGGGGACTCTTCACGGGAAGGACAACCCTAGAAAGGGAGTTTCTTACTCCAAACTCACAGATGATCCTGGGGGAGGGAGGATGGGTTTGTGACGGGGAGATGTTCAGTTTGGTTTAAGAAAAACCCACTCAGCTACACCTACTGGGTGTTGGGCTTATGCTGAGCAATCAGAAATTGGGCGTTCAGAGCCTTGAGGACAGACAGACCTGAGCATGGTACCCCCAGCAAAGGACAAGGGTGATTGGTGGGCAGAGAAATATTTGGATGCACAGAGCAGGGAGAGGGTATATGGTGGTGCTGCCATGTGACCTTGAACCTGCCCTCTGCACTTTGGTGTCCTCATCTGTAAAATGGGAATGGAAACAGTGTCTTCCATTTAGGGTTCTTTGAGGACTTAATGAGGTGATGCAGGTGATGATAATTGAGCTCAGTAACATTAGTGAGACGGACAGACACACAGAGAATTGAGCCAGGAGTGCTTGGTCTAGCTCAGGCCAGACAGAAGCTAGACGGACCCAGAACCCAGGGTGGTCATGAGGGGGACGCTTGGTTGGGACCTGTAAACCTGGTGTCACTCCTGCACCCAAGAGTGACGGAGACCCCAGTGAGGGTGATCTAGAAGGGCAATAAGAGAAGAGAAAGGCAGCTCCGTGGGGTGCCTTCTCCATGCCCGGCACAGTGCCAAGGGCTTTGCATGCAGAAGGCCCTTCCAACAACCCTGTAGGAAGGTACCACCAGTCCCATTTCATAGATGAAGAAACTGAGGCTCAGAGAGGTTAAATGGCCTGACCAAAGTCACACAGGGACAAAGTTATGGAGTCAGGATGGAACCCTGGGCTACCAGTTCCAGCATCCCCCACACACTGCTCTGCTGCAGGTGGCACTGACTTCCCGGGGGTGGGTGCTCCCGCCAGACCAGGCTAGGGGTGGGCACCCACCTGCCCTACCTCACAGGTGGAATAGGCTGTATTGGTTGGTTCAGCGTTCATTGCACAAACATTTGCTGCTCACCTTTGTGTGTCTGGGACCTTGTGCTCAGCTCCGAAGATAGAGGTGGAAGATAGAGGAAGAAGAGGGAAAAGTGGACCTGGAAACAGGGAAAGTGGATTCCATAATGGAGAGGAGATGTGAGGATGGGGAACTCAGCGAGAAGACATCTAAGACTGGAGAGGAGAAGCGGTGGGCTTCCTGGAGGAAGGGATATCCAAGCTGAATCCTTCAGAATAAGCAGGTGTTTGGCTGTCAAAGGTTGAGGGTGGAGGAATGGTGTTCTAGACACTAGGGACAGCAGGAGGAAAGGCTTGGCGGTTTACATGGAGATGCGGGGGGGCGGAGGGAGGCTTGCCAGCAACCTGTATGCCTGTGGTGTGGCCATGAAGCTGCCCTCTGGATCTGGAGCTCTTGGAGGAGCTGGACCAGGGGATTGGCACCGAGAGGTGCCAGGCAGCTGGAGGGGGAAGCCACAGGGGGCTTCCCACCCCACCATCCCTCAACCCCAAGTGTGGGAAGCAGAAACACATCCATCTGGAACCCCCAGCACAATTCTGGGGAGTTGGGACTACTGTCCCCATCTTACAGATGAGGACACAGACTCAGACTTGCCCAAGGTCACAGAGCCAGTGAGTGGCTGAGTCAGGATTGAGATCATGACCTGGGCTCCAAATCCAGTGCCTTGGATGCTGGCAGGGCCTTTTGCATCAGGCTCCAGGGCCCCTGCGGGGCAGGAAGGCTCGGAGCTCCCCAGCCTGAGCAACTTTGTCTCTGGTCAGTACTTGCAGCTTCTGTGCAGCATTCCTGGAGAGGCCCACTCCTGGCCTCAAAGGGCCTGCCTAGCTCACTGACCTCTCCCTCTGTGCTCACTGCTTTACACTGACAACTCGCTGCCTCTTCACATGGAGAAGCAGGCAGTGTTGTTGAGCCCATTATACAGATAAGTAAGCTGAGTGAGGCTCAGAGAGAGGAAATTACTTGTCCAGTCACTAGCCAGGGAGTGGTGGAACCAGGCATTGAACTCAAGCCCATCCAGTCCCAGTGCCACTCCCCGTGGCTGGGCCTGCTTCTCAGTGGTGGGTTCCACAAGCCCTTTTCCACGGGAGGCGTTGAGGGAGGGAGGGGGTCTGGCAGAGAGGAGGGGACCCCGCTGGCACCTCCAAGCCCTTCCCACACATGCGCTCGTCACGCTTACCCCAGCTCCATAGACAAAGGCAGCCCCGTAATTGGGAGTATTTCATGCATCCCCCCCCCCCACCGATGTTTTATTGGGTGGAGAGATGCTTGGAGACCAAGCGGATGGCACATTCCGTTTATAAAGTGTGCGCAGTTTGTTTTATATCCCGAGTTTTTGCAATCTAGATAACAGATGACGCCCCGAGTGGCTGGCACTGCCTCCGTAATGGCGGCACCGAGCCTTTGGAGAAGTATTAATAATAGATTGTGTTGATGAGTTTGGAGAAAGTAGCAATCGACCCCCTGCTGCCAAGGCATTAGCACGGCTGTTCCGAATGCAGCCTGCATGGTGGCGGGCGCCTGCAAATGCAGGTCACCCCTCCCACTGCCCCCCTCCCCTACCTAAGAGAGCTTCCTCTCCCGGAGCCGCTCCGAGGTGCGCTGACCCCGGCCTGGGCCCCTGGCCCCGCCAGGCTGGCACAGAGATCAGCCAGTGCCTGTCTGCTCATGGGCCACTGAGGCCGGGCTGCAGACCTTAGGGTGGCACCTAGATCAGGAGGTAGGAGTGTGGGGAGGGGACAGAGGGGCGGGGGTGGGCGGGCGGTGGCGGGTAGAGAAGGCAGACACATCCTCCGTGTCAGAGCATCAAGTTCTGGAAACCTGGCTCCTTCCCCAGTCCCTTGGCAGAGCTGGACAGCCAGCCAGATTCCTAGGGGCCTCTGCCAAAGGCTGCCGTGGACAGTTGGGTAGCTTGTACCTCGAACAAAGTTATCCAGCCAAAGGGCCAAATCGGAGCTGAAATCCAGCTCATGTTCCCCTTGCAAAGCCATGCACTATGTGGGCTAGCAGGGTCCAGCTGACAGCCGACCTTAGCCTCAGCCCACCCCAAGCCTTCACTCACCTGCTTTGCAAACACTCACCGAGGTCTTTTTGGGGATCAGGTAGAGCCAGGCCCTGCCTTGTGGAACCCCTGCAGAATTGGAAGCTGACAGGGGCATGTGCTGTCACTGATGTGATGCTTATGCACCAAGGTACAGGCTCAGTATCATCGAATCCTGACAACAGCCCTTTGGGGGAGGTCCTGTTGACATCCCCATTTCACAGTAGAGGAAACTGAGGCCTGGGGGAAGCTCAGGTGAGCATACAGGAGGCCACTTCCCCCTGACTGGGGCATCAAAGAAGCCTTCCCAGAGGAGGTGGCATTAGAGTTGGGCACTGCAGGATGAGTAGGAGCCTGCTCGTTAGATAGAGGCGGATGGCAGGGGTTGCTAGGGATGCCCCCAATTTGAGCGCCCCGGCCGGTGCCAGGGCAGCAGGCAGAGCTCAGATCGGCCCTGTCCACCGCGCCCCACTAGCTCGTCGTGGGCGGCGCTGATGGCAGCCCCGGGAAGGGAGGCAGGCCGAGTGCCTTGCATTTATGGCCATTTCTGTTCCAGAACCGATTAGTAGAGAATTGCAGCTGTAATCTGTGCCTGTGATGGCGGGCCATAAAGAGGGATGGGATGCGCACAGCGCTCCCAAGGTGGCGCCCGCAGACGTGGCCCAGGGACGTGGGGAATGAAAAATGGTTTTAATTCCCTCCCAGCAGCAATAATTTGATTCTTCATAAATTTTTCCATCAAAGTGTTGTTGAGGCTGAGTTCCCACAGAGCAGGGCACGTGACTAGGAGGGGGGGAGCCAGGGGGGAGCGGTCAGTAGGTGAGGGCAGAGGAGGGGGCATGCTGCTCAGACCCTTCTGCACACACGCTCGCTGGAGGCGGGGACACCCCCGCCAGGCTTTGTCTCCAGAGATGGAAGATGGATCCGGTTTGTCATGCAGGGGCTGGAGCAGGCCCAGGCTCCGAGTCGGCCCCATCACTTACTACCACGTGACCCCGAGCAAGTGACTTCGCCTCTCGGCACCTCAGTTTCCTTATCTCTAAGATGGGGTTAACGTTCATCACTGTCTCATCTGGTCGTTGCAAGGATTAAATGCACTTCTGCCTGCAGAGTGCTTAGAGCCGTGCCTGGCGCTCTGTCCGTGCTCAGTAAATGTCTGCGCGTGGTAAAGGTACTTAAGCCGAAATGAGGGATAAGTAGGGGTTAGCACAGCCACGGGGCAGAAAAAGAACATGCTGAAGGGCCAGTGGGAAGGAGCTCTGGAGAAACCACAGGCTGTTCCATCGGGCCACAGCCTGTGGGAGCAAAGACAGGAAGGGTGTGAAGAGCCTTGAGGCACCAAGGAGTCATGGAAGAGTCTGGAGCAGGGGAGAAGCATGAGCAGAGGTGTGTTTTAGACAGCTTCCTCTGGCTCTCATCCTGGAGGGTGAACTGAAGGGTTAGAGGAGCCAGGAGCCCAGGAAGGGGACTGGGGCAGGCGCTCAGGCGGGAGAGGAGCGGCCCAGCCTGGGCGGCGGGCTGGACAGGGCTCAGGATTGCTTGGGTGGGTGGGGGGGAGCAGAGAGGAGGCGGAGCAGGTCCTGGAGTGAGGGGAGATGGGACCAGGGGGTCGCCTGCCCTTCTCAGCCCCAGAACCCACTGGGCTTCTGGGGAAAGTTGAGGCTGACCTTGTGCTCTGCCCTCTAGTGGCCACGGTGTCTCTGAGCGGGAAGGACCCTGAGCTGATACACCCAGGAGAGGGCACCTCTGGGCAGGATGCCCAGCACCCACTCTTGGGCCACCAGGGCCCTGGGGCACCAGAAGAGGAGGGCCAGGGACCCTCCCACCGTCTGGCTCTGAGCCCAGGGTGGGCCTCTCCTACCTGGGGTGGAAGGTCAGGGTGGCAGGAGGGAGAGGACCTTGGTGGACCCCCGAGCCGAGCCAATGCGCCCACCCTGTGCACCTGCAGGCTCTTCGCAGCCAAGTGCAGTGGCTGCATGGAGAAGATCGCCCCCACGGAGTTCGTGATGCGGGCGCTGGAATGTGTGTACCACCTGGGCTGCTTCTGCTGCTGCGTGTGTGAGCGGCAGCTACGCAAGGGCGACGAGTTCGTGCTCAAGGAGGGCCAGCTGCTGTGCAAGGGCGACTACGAGAAGGAGAAGGACCTGCTCAGCTCCGTGAGTCCCGACGAGTCCGACTCTGGTGAGCCATGGCTGGAGCTGGGGGGCAGCCGGGGGACGGGGAGGGGGCCCTGACGGAGAAGCCCGATCCTGACCCCGGGACCTGAGCTACGTCCAGACATCCGACGCCCATGGCCCTGATGTGTTCACACGCACGTGTGCAGGTGCACATGGACACCGATGTGTGCACGCCCCCAGGCACACAAATGCTCGTGCGGACACTGCCACTGAGGCACGCATGCTCACGCACCAGCGTACGTGTATGGGACCACAGATGTACACACACAAGCACGCACGATGCGTGTGTGGATACCCATGCCCAGCAGCACATATGCACGGACACAGGTACATCTGTAGACGTGTGCTGAGATGCCCAAGCACGCATGAACCCACACCCAGGAACACACACGTGCGCGCACACTTAAACACAGGTACCTGTGCACACATGACCCAGCTCACACATCACATATGCACTGACCAGCTATGCATATGGCCACACACATGTTTATCCACATGCTCGCATGGACTGCGGTTTAGACACATGCGCACACACGCGTACCTCGCCCTCCCTTCGCCTTGCTGTGGCCCCCTCCGGGGCACGGCCCCCCCAGCTGTCTCTGCCTGCCCCAGGTCTGCAGGCTGCTGGTGGCCAAGAGGCAAGGCTCTGACACATTCTTCAGCAGCCTGAGCTCTTCCGTTTCCCGGCTGAGGCGGGGTTGGGGGGGACACCAGAGCCTTCTGTGGTGGAGGCAAAGACCCCCTTTTCCAGGATGAAGGCACCTCTCTACTCTGCTCCAGCCCCCAAAAGGACTGTGCCAGCTTAGAGCCCTCCTGGCAGAAGGGTGGGTGCAGCGAGGAATGAGACTTAGAAACGAAAAGCCAGGGAGAAGGCTGGGGCCCTGTCATTCCCGGATAGTGGGGAAGGACTGGAGCAGAGGGCTTGGAGAGGAGATGCGCTGGTCTTCTGAGCCCTTTGGGGTAACCTAGAGCCCGCAGTCACAGGACCTGCCCATCTGGAAGAGCTTTGTCACCGTCGGGGCCCTTGGAGGAAGCAGTGAGCTCCCCATCCGTCCATTGCTCTGTCCACCCACGGGCCAGGGCACTGTGGTGGCTGCCTGGACTCGTATGGCAGGGCAGACACTGGCCAGGTGCCACTGGCCCATTCATAGCAGGGGCGGAGGTCTCGGAGGGAGGAGACCCACCCCCGGGGCTCTGAGGAAGATGGGCCTGGGAAAAGGAGACCAATTCAGACTTGGGGGCAGCGGGAGGGGCACAGTGTCTGCCTGGGGCTGGCATCTCTAAGACCCACAATTCTGGGGCATGAAAGTGGCCGTGTGTGCATGGTGGGCATGAGTGTGTCTGGGGGGGGAAGACACACGCTTCTGCGTCGTGTGTGTGCGCTCGCGCGCACGTGTGTGTGTGTTCAGGTGTGTGCTTGCCTGTGTGTCCCCACCTGTGAGCATGCACCTGTGTGCACGTGAATACGTCTGTGAGCGGCGTGTGCCCAGTCCCATGCGGGCTCATGTGCCGTGCGCATGTGCGTGTGTCCGTGGTTGAGTGTGTAACTGTCTGTGTGGCGTGCGTGCCACCGTCATGTCTGATGGGTATGAGGATGTCTCGGGACATGTCTTTGCCTGACAGTGCTTAGTCCCTGGAAGCTTCCAAGACAGAAGGCTCCCTGGAGTCTCCTCGCTGGGTCGTGGGACCCGCTAGCACTGGGCTGGTGCAGGGGAAACCAGTTTTCTCAAAGGCTGACATGCTGCCCTGGGGTCTCCAGAGTGCCGGGGGCCGGTGTTGGCAGGAGGTGACGGGGTCCCGCCTGGCAACGGATGGCCTCAGGGTACGAGGCTGACGGGCTGGGTGTGTCCCCCACAGTGAAGAGCGAGGACGAGGACGGGGACCTGAAGCCGGCCAAGGGGCAGGGCAGCCAGAGTAAAGGCAGTGGGGACGACGGGAAGGACCCCCGGAGGCCCAAGCGACCCCGGACCATCCTCACTACACAGCAACGAAGAGCCTTCAAGGCCTCCTTTGAGGTGTCGTCCAAGCCCTGCCGCAAGGTGAGGGGCCGCGGGGCTGGGGCGGGGCTGACCCCCCACACCCGCCGCCTTCCCAGACAGTGCCCCCCACTCTTGCCGGCGACGGGGACATCCCTCCCCCTCCCGCCCCCCATCCCTCAGTCCCCCCAAACCACTGCCTCCCTGGCCTGCTGCTCCCCCCTCCCCTGGCCTGATCCGTGTCCCTCCACCGGGCAGGTCCGAGAGACGCTGGCGGCAGAGACGGGCCTCAGCGTGCGTGTGGTCCAGGTCTGGTTTCAGAACCAAAGAGCCAAGGTGAGAGGCCACCTGTCACCCCCGCTGGGCAGGGCTGGAGGGTGGGGGGATGTGTGCAGGCAGAAGACAGGGTCCTGCTGGAGGGGCCGGGGCCGACTGGGGGCAGGGAGGTGGGGACTGGCACGACGTGTGTCCCCTACAGATGAAGAAGTTGGCGCGGCGGCACCAGCAGCAGCAGGAGCAGCAGAACTCGCAGCGGCTGGGCCAAGGTGAGCCGGGACCAGGGCGACAGGGCCCGGGCTCAGCCTCTGGAAACAACACCCCCCCACCCCCGAACCCCGGACCCCTTCCACCAGGGCCGTCAGGGCTCTGGGAGCTGCCGCCACGGAACCTGCCGGGATGGAGAGAGGCGGTGGGGACCACGGGCGGGGCCCGGGAGGAGAGATGGCGGCATGGGCTGCCCAGAGGGGTGGCAGAATTTTCGCCCCTGGGGCGCCTGGCTGGGTCAGTTAGTGGAGCGTGCGACTCTTGATCTCAGCGTCAGGAGTTCAAGCCCCGCGTTTGGCGTAGAGCTTACTTAGAAAACAAAAACAAAAACACCTGCAACCGTCTCCCACCCTCAGGGTGTGTTAGGCACGGTTGTCACCACTGGCCATGCTCCGCCTCACGGAATGCCCACCGATTCTGGAGGGGAAGGGCATTGTCACGGCCCATTTCACAGCCAAGGAGGCTGAGACTCAGACCAGAGGACTTCCTGGGATCCCTCAGCTAGTAAGGGGCAAAGCTGGCCTCGGCCCCACGTGTGGCGCCCCAAGCCTGTGGTTTTAACATGACCATACATACACCCCACTGCCCACAATAGAATTCAGCAGAAATCTCCAGAGAGTCTCTGCAGGGTTTTGCAGAGTTCAGGGTGGGCTCCTGCTGGGTGGTAAGGAGCCAGTTTGAGGGGCGGCAGCCAGGCCCCCGAACACTGGGCTTTGCCAAAATCCTGTTACCACTTCTTGGGCCGGCGGGTGGGGGGGAGGGGAGGCTGGCCTCCCGAGCCCTGTGGGGACATTGAGCCTTAAAGGGAGGGCACAGGGAGCTTCTTGGGACTGCCCAAGACGAGTGGGGGCCCCAGGGCTGCCTGTTCCCAGGTGACACGGGGGCTCTGGGGCAGGTGCCAGGGCACTGATGGGCAGCCCCTTCTTCTACTCAGGGCTCAGGGCCAGGCCCGTGTGCCTGGCTGCACCTGAGCCTTGGAGCCCAGTTCTTTTTGCCCCTGCTGCTCCCTTCTCCTAAGACAGCCTGGCCTCCTGGGGCTGTGGCCACTGTCTCTGGTCGCCCAGCTACCTCCCGTGTTCCTAGCTGCCTCTGAGACTGTTCCACAGCCCCCCTTGAGCTCATCACAGCCCTTACAGTACTCCATACACCAGCCCCTGCTACCACGTTCACACAACACCCTCTGCTTCTCCCCACCCCATCTCAGCAAATGGCACCAACCCCCACCCAGTGCCCACACCAGGAACCTGGGAGTCACCTCTGACCCTTCCTGTCCTCCATTCACTATGTCTGCTCAGTTGCCAAGTAGGGCAGTGGTTGCTGGTCCTGTGTCCCTCATGCCCCTCCCAGGAGTTGTCATTCCCACACCCACCTTCATAGGGACCTCAGCCCCTCCCTCAATTTCCTCAAGGGTCCCTGCCTTCAGCCTCCACCCTACCATCTTTCTCCACAGCCTCTCCCGGCTAAGACCCTCTGGGGACTTCCTACAGCCTCAGGGAGAACCACACTGAGCTCAGGCCCCCCAGGGGACCATCTTCTTCCCCACCCCTGGCCATCTCTCATCCTCACACTATAGCCCCATGCACGGGCCTCCCTGCTCCCACTGGCTAGTTTCTCCTCTCCCTGCCTTTGCTGCCTGCGGCAGGGCATGCCTGCCCCCTGACATGGTTGAAACCCTGCTGATTCTTTAAGTGACATGGAGTCAGGGGGTCCCTTCCTCCAGGAAGTCTTCCCTGAGCCTCTTTGGCATGGGCCCCACCTTGATGCTCCCAGACACGGGGAGCTCATTGCACCCACATGTTGAATCTTTACTGCCCGCTTAGTGTCTGTGTCCCCCAGGCAGTGAGCTTCTGGAGGGCAGGGCCACTGGAGGAAGGGAGGAGGTGAGGAGGGCAGGTCTCTGGCTTTCGATAAACTGATTCCTGAAGAGGAGCTGGAGGGTGTGTCTGGGGAGAGGGGCCGGGGGTCAGATACCTGGGTTCAGTGGCCTGAATCACTGTAGGCAACCTGGGGAAGTGCAGAGGCAGTCAGAGTCAGGGGGACTGCAGTGGGCCCCGTGGCCTAGGGCGCCACGTGGGAAGTCCGTGGGAACTCCTGAGGTACGTCTGGGACGGCTCCCCGGGGGCGGGGTGGGCTCCAGGACAGGGTGGACAGGGCCGGTCAGTGAAGGTGTGCTCTGTCCCCAGAGGTCCTGTCGAGTCGCATGGAGGGCATGATGGCCTCCTACACGCCGCTGGCCCCACCGCAACAGCAGATCGTGGCCATGGAGCAGAGTCCCTACGGCAGCAGCGACCCCTTCCAGCAGGGCCTCACGCCGCCCCAAATGCCAGGTGACCACATGAACCCCTATGGTAAGCCGCCCCGCCCCCTGCGCACCCCAGCACCGCCCCCGCCCGCTGCCTGAGCGGCAGGCCTGGGGCCAGGACGGCCACATCCCGCCCCAGGGCCCAGGCAGGCCCCGCCCACACAGCCCTGCTGCTGCCCGCCGAGGCCCCGCCCGCCGCCCTCAGCACCTCCGGCCCCGGCTGCCGCCGCAGGTCATCCCGTCCCTGCTCACCTCTGGCCACACAGCCTGAAGGGCTGACAGCCCCGCCCCCCGGAGCTCCTGCCCGCCCCGGCTCCTGACACCCCCTCTGCCCTCAGGGAACGACTCCATCTTCCACGACATCGACAGCGATACCTCCTTAACCAGCCTCAGTGACTGCTTCCTGGGCTCCTCGGATGTGGGCTCCCTGCAGGCCCGTGTGGGGAACCCCATCGACCGGCTCTACTCCATGCAGAGTTCCTACTTCGCCTCCTGAGAGCCAGCCGGCCGCATGGACGCTTGCGCCAGGGTCCTGGGGTGGGCCTGCGGCCGCCGCGGCCACCCCACCGCCCGCACAGACTACACACAGCCATACGGTGCCCTTGCCCTGGGCCAGCCGGGCAGGCAGATGGGCGCAGCCTGGGCAGGGCTGCGTCCTGCCCACAGAGACCGTGTCACCCCAGGGACCCAGAGTCTCGGAAAGCCACTCGCCTCCCAGCCCCACCTCGGCCTCCATCGCCTCCTTCTCCCTACCCATCTCTTTTTTGGGAAGCTTAAATTCTCTCTATTTTTTTAAACGTCCTCTCTGTGTCCAGCCAACCTCCAGGGACCGGGCCTAGGCCCAGGCAGGGCCCCCACCGCCCACATCCCCCGCCCCGCATGCCCCAAGGCGATGATGTTGTGTGTGGTGCCTGTTAACCTTTGAGGAGCTGGTGCCCAGCTCCCCCACCTCCGCCAGCCTGGGTTCACCGTCCCAGTCCGAACCTGGAACAGAAGTGGGGAAGAGTCTGGCAGGTGTGCCAAGCCCACCTCGGCTCTGCCCTGAGGGGGAGTCCCTGGTGGGGGGGCAGACTGAGCCTCACTTGCAAACGCATGCACACTCGAAGGCACACCCATGCGGATAAGCACACAGGTACAGAGACAAGCTAAAGAGACACAGAGGTGCTCTGTGGGCCAGCCCTGCCATGTCAGGAAGGGGAAAGAGGCGAGAGCGGGGCAGGGACCCCCTCTTCTTACAGCAATAGGGGAGAAGGAAGGAGGGGAGGGAGGGGAGAGTTTGGGGCTTGAAACACACAGACCCAGATGTATCCTAGCCTCAGCCTAAATGGGCCTGCCTGAGCAGGCAAGGCAGAAACAGAGCCCCCAGAACCAGGTAGGACAAATGGCAGAACCTCCAGGGGCAAAGGGACCTTCCCAAGTCACCCACGTGGCACATCATCTGAAATTTGGCCCCCTCTGCCTCACACACCTCCAGCAGCAAGGAGCCCGCTGCTTCATCGGGCCCCGGGTCAGCTGCCGTTCTCTGCTGATTTTGCCTCTGCCTCTTTGAGCCCCGAGTCTTCACTTCTCAAAGCCAGGCTCTTCCAGTTTCTCTAGCTCTTTCTCTTAAAACTGTACCCTCAGCTGGGCTCCAGCTTTCCCTCCAGAGGTGGAACAGATATAACCCAATCTCCCCACTGACATCAGCCAGCCACCTCCCCGGCTTTAGGCGCCCTGCCTCTGTTAATGTGGCCCAAAGTGCAGTGAACAGCTGAGGCCACATTACCTGGAAACTCACCCTGCCCTTCTGTAACTGAATCCCCTGACCCTCACACACATGACCGCTAAGCCACATCTTTCTTCTGTGTATATGTGGCGGAGGGGACATTTATTGTTTAGATCCAGCGAAGGACCTTGACTTTTTTACTTGCTACATTTCTTCCTAATCTGATTCAGTCCGGCCTGTGGAGTTTCTCTGCACCCGCAGCTCAGTGACCACAGCTTGCTGTCCCTGTGATGTCAGGAGGCAGCCCTGTGTTTCTCACCCGAGGCACGGGAACCGTTTGGGCCTCTCCTGGTCTGGTATTGGCCCATGAACCAGTCCTCCTTGGATGACGCATTCCAGTGCACTTCCAGCCCCGTTTTGTCAGCTGCCCTGCTGGAAGCCAGATAGGCTGTGTCAGCCTCCACCCCGGATCCACTCAGCTCTCACTCTGTCAAAAGAGGAAGTGAGGTCAGGCTGATGGGCCCTGTTCTCAGTGACCCCTCACTGGGCTCTGGTGGCCACTGTATCCTCAGCCAGGTGCTCAGAGCCCTGCCTTTAATTCTGACACCAAGCCCTAGGCCGCCACCCTGAGATCTGCCCGGTCCAGCCGTTGAGCGAACAACACGATGGGTGTCTGTCTCTCTCTGCCTTGGGGCCCCTCCGCCTGGCTCTCTCTGGGATCCTCACAGTTCGCCAGCCTGCTGCGTATGTTTGCTCCTCCTTCCAGTGGGGAGACCTCGGCTGCTCCAGAGCGTCCGGTGCTCTTCACCAGAGTCGTCAGTGGGGCGATGCGGCTCAGCAGCCCCCCCAGCCCCAGCCCGGACGGAGCAGCCAGCCTGGCCCTTCCTCCTTGTTCCACACAAACTCCCACAGGGATCTTGGCTGCTGCTGTGGTTTTCTGCAAACTCAGCGCCCCTGGGCTCGGTCCCAGCTCTTGTCCTGGGCCACCAGTGGTCCCTTAGGCAGCCATGCTGGTTTCTTGAGAGATGCTCCCCTTCTTCTTCTTGGCTCACATGGTCCAAATCATGCTGGGGCCACTTGGGGCGGGCCCAGGGGCAGATCCCCCAGACTCTTTCAGTTGGAAGGAAGCTCAGAAGTGGGCATCTGGTCCACTCCCTTTATCCCAGCCTGGAAAGCCTGCGCTGGGACAGGGGAGGGAGTAGGGATGCCATGCCAGCCCCTCATCCTCTTGGTCTGGCAGATGGCCTCTAGGTCAGGAGGGGGTGGGGGGGCATGATTTGTCTTAGGAAACTCTTGGCAGCCCCTGGGGGGCACCTCTTCCCACTTGGGGGCCTCACAACCTCCCAAGTCCAGCCCAGGCTCTGTCCCCACTGGGCACTGCTCCTTGCCCGCAGCTGGTTCAGAGACACCCGCACTCATATCCCACAGATGGTCAAAGCCAGAGAAACTTCAGAGAGCCCCATGGGCCAGAGACACCCATCAGCCGTGGTTAAGTGATTGCTGTATGCTGTGGCTCACTGCCCTCAGTTCCCTCAGGCTCCCCCAGGCTCCCCCAGGCCCTGATGTCCACCCTGCCCAGCCCTGGACTGGGTGTGGAGACAGATGAACAAGATGTGGGGCCCACCCTTGAGGGGCTTGCTTCTAGAAGGAGAGGCATTCACACTCCGACCCAGCTCTGTCCAAATGTTAGCGGGGACCCATTTCTCAGATGAGGAACCCAAGGCTCAGAGAAGGGAGGCAAGTGTTCAGGGTCACCCAGCAGAAGCATGCAGAGGCAAGCAGGCTCGCTGGGGTCTGGGGTGAGCTGAGCTAAGCGGGCTCTTCCCACTTCATGTGGGAAGAAGTGCAGCCTTGACTTGGGGGTGCAGTGAGTAACCAGGAGCACCCCCCACCCCAACCATCAGACCGTCGTCCGTGGTGGCTGGGATGGGAAGCCCAGGGGTAGAGGGAGGTAAAGGTTTTGTCCAGAGGAAGAGGCAGAAAGTGTGAGGTGGGCAGAGGGAGTGTTAGAGAAAAACCGACTTCCGTTTCCCTGTTGGGGAAGGTGAGGCTCAGAGAGAGGAAGGAATCTGCCTCAGGTAACACAGCAAATGAGGCAGAAGAGGGACACGAAGGTGGGGTCCTGCCCCCAGCCAGAGCCTCATCTGCCTGCGCCATGGAGCCTCCTGGGGGGCCACACAGACAAAGGGACCCTATGGTTCCAAAGGTCCGACCATAAGGCAGGCAGAGCCTGTAGGGGAAGGGGTCCTACAAGGCGCGCTGGGCATGTTGGGAGGCTTCCCAGGAGGGGGAGGAGAGGAGTCCACTGCCTCTGGGCGAACAGAGCCCAAGCAAGGTCAGGCCCCCCGTCGCAGGGCTGCAGGGGGCGGCTTCTCCTCTAGGGGGCTCAGCTGCCCCCTAGCAGCGAGGCTGCCTCACCCACCCCTGTGGAGCCAGCGCCCAGGGAGCCTGGGGGGTGGGGGGGCCCGAACCAGCTGACCCCCTGCTTGGCCTGAGCTCGGGGCACCACCTGGGGTGAGGACCTCACCTCCGATCTGGGAGAACCTGCAGCTCGGGCTCAATCCGCCCTGCCGGTGAGAGGGTCCACACTCACATGCACGCACACAAGACACACACTCACACCTGGACGCACACGGAGGCTCACATACCTACCCACATTCCCGGGCACATGAGGCCTGAGGGCTAGGGGAGCAGGAAAGACCCTCCAACATTTGGCCCTTGGAAGATGCAGTTTGCAATGAGCCTGTCTGCTGGTGCCCCCACCCCACCGAGGGCCCCACAGGAGCCCAGCCCAGCTGGGCGTGGGGACCGGCCATCGGCCATTCCTCTGTTTTCCTTGTACAGACTCTCACCGCCCACCCGCCATCCCCAGACACATTTTATTTAATAACTTGTCATTGTTAAATTATTTATTAGCGTTTACCACATCACCACCCCCACCCTGCCCTCCACGCTCACCTTCTGCCTCCTCCCACAAAAGCAGAAAATGGAAACACCAACAAAAGATGAGACATCAGTATATTTGTAAATAAACCAACCTGTACACACCTGTGCCGCCTCTACTTGGGGGGAGGGAGGGGCCAGGCCAGAGCCAGTTCTGTGCGAGGCGTGGGGGAACTCCTCCATGGGCATCAGGGACAGCACGTCACGAAGGAGGGAGGGCTCAGGATCCCTGTTCTTACCCCAACCCATTCCTTGTCACATCCCATAATCTTCACCCTCCCATCCTTGGCCCATCCCAACCCCGAACCACCTCCATGCTTAAATGCATCCATCCCAACACATTCATTCATTCAATCAACCACATTTAAGTGCCAGCTACCGGACTGAGAACCAGGGCTCAGCGGTCTGTGCCTCAAGGAGGTAGACTATGACATAAGCTCAGTTGAGGTTCGGAGAGGCCTTGTTGCAGGGGTACCCAACCTCACCTGGAAGGGTAAAACATCAAGGAGGGCTTCCTGGAAGAAGCTACATATTAAGCTGCGATCAGAAGTTAGCCAGCATGGAGAAGACTATGTGGGGAGGAGTGTCTGGCAGTGCTTCTGTCTTGTGCAAAATCTCAGGGCAGGCAAAACCTTGTAACTCTCCTAAACTAGAAGAGCTCAGTTTGGGGGTAGGGAAGAAGCAATGAGACTGAGGGCAGGGCCTCACATCCACAGATCTGAGGTTCTAATGTTCTCTCCCTTTCCCCACCTCTCTGGTTGCTCCTTCTCAGCCTCCTGTCCCCACTCCTGTGGCCAGGGTTACCTGGAAGCCACCTCTAGCCGCTTTCCCTCTGCCCACAGGCGCCAGGGCCCCCTATGGGGCATGCTCCACCCCGCACCCACTTCAGCCTCTGGGTGATTCTCAACCACGTGGC